GACTGTTTTCGAGGGCCTTTAAAAGAAGGGGGGGGGGGGCAAAACTGGGGTAAAATAACCCTTTACTGGCTCCTGCTTCGGAATAACCCCGGGTACAAAGCCCAGATGAGTTGGAAAGCCCCTCCCCACACCTCCCCATTTTCTAGGGCTGAGCACCTAAAGTTGGACAGTGTGGGGGGTTTGAGGGCTTTACCCTCGTGCTAGGCAAGGCAACCCCGAGTGCCTGGGAGCAAAAGGTTCCTCCCTTCGGCTGCGAGGAGCAGGAATCCGTCCCCCCCCGCGAGCAGCCCCTGCCCCGGCTCCCGCAGGGTACTCACCGCTCCAGTGGGATCTGCTGGTGTGCCCGTTGTCCATGGCAAACACCCCCCTCCAGCGGGGCAGCCTGCGGGAGGGGGCAGGGAGTTAGGGTAAAAGGGGAAAAAATAACTAAAAATAGCTGCTCTTCGGTTTGTTAGCGGGGATGCTGAGTGGCTGCTGCCCTTCCATCGCTGCCAGCCTTGGCTCCTCTTCCAGGGACAGAGTGAACGTGCACTGAAGCATCTCAGCCACGAAGGCAGGAGCTTCAGAAGGGATGGAAAACCCCACGGGAACCAGGAGAGTGGCCGTGCTGAGCTGCAGAGCTGCAGGATTTGCCTCAGGAGTATTTAATGGGGGACATTTTCAACTGCTCTTTGCCTGGAAGTCTCCCCTCCAGGAGCTTTTTAAGTCCTTTGCTGCTTCTCTAGTCCCTTTTCCAGCTTAAATCTCACCTCCTGTGGCTTTCCTTGGCCTCACCACGGGCTGCCCAGTGCCCGTGGGCTCTGCCAGGGCCACAGGCAAAAGGAGCAGCCCCATCTCTAGGGCAGATGGTGCCGTTCCCCAGGAATCGATTCCTGCAGCAGGGAAGCTGGATCTCTTTCCTAGGGCTTTCCCAGGAGAGTCCCACAGGAGCTCCATCCCAAGGGTGAGGAGGCTGCTGGGCTGAGAGGTGCCACGGAAGGCCCTGTGTGATGCCAAAGTTGGGGAGACACCAAGCCAGGTGTCTCCTGCTCTGCCAACGGGATTTGGGATCCCCCACAAACATCCAACAAGCAAACCCAGCACGAACTGGGCCAGCACCCCCTGGCTGCCCGGCCCCTGGGCCAGGAGATCCTGGACACAGACCACTGGAGCCATCCTTGAACCCCGAGCCCAGGAACCCACATTCCAATCTCCCCATTGGAGCCCCCCAAAATCCCACAGCCCACTCCTCCCACGGGAGGAAGAGCTGGATTTGCCTCAGATGGGTGGTCACTGCAAGTTTGGTTAAACCTCAGATGCTCATGGATAGACACACTGTGGGGGTGGTCGACTCTCCCCCCTCCCCCAAACCATCCAACCTTGGATTTTAACAGCAAACTTGGGAATTGCAGGGCATTATAGTGTGAAGTACCAGCCAGGCTGGCCTGGTGTGGCTGGGGATCCCCTCTGCCAGGGCCACCTCCTTCACCCTCGGAACAGCAGCAGGAGAAGAGTTTCTTCTAAATGCAATCAAGTCTCCAACCCGGAATGACAGCAGGGCTGGGAGATGCACATCTCACCCCCCAGCCCCTTCCTCAAGCACAAACCTCTGTGCACAGCAGAACAGCTCGACAAAAACCTTGGCTGAGAATGTGTGAAACTCATGTCACGTGTATGAACTGAGCTCAGCCTGAGGGACACTTTGCTGTTTAGCTCTGGAAATCCACACTGACATCTTAATAGCGGCGGAGATTTACCCAAAACAGCCTCTTTAAGTCCTGAAAACCTGCTGTGCCTCATTAAGAGGCTCTGCTCTCCTGGCTGCTTCTTCGTGGCTTTTCTGAATACAAACCATGGAAGTTTTCAGGAGCAGCTCTCACCACAGGAGGGCAAACACCCTTTTAAACCCCTCTGTTTCTTTCTAGTCCTCCATTTCTGTTCAAGCTCTTTTTTTTCCCCAAAAAACATTATTTCCTAATGAGTTTGAGAGCAGCTTTCCAGGGCACCAGGCAGGGCCGGGGGACCTGCAGCCTCAGCTGGGAATTCAATCAGGAGCATTTTCCTATTAGCAAAACAGGATCAGCCTTTCCCGAGCCAGCAAATGAAGGTGCTTGGGGAAGGGATTTATTGCATTTTATGTTAACTAAGCTCTTCCCTGCGAGCATTTCTCCGAGATGCTCTGTCTGCCTCCCCCCCCTGCCTGCCTTTCAAATCCTTCCCTGGAAAATCCAGTCCCAGGGATGAGGAGGGGACAGGCACCACTGTCCCACCACCAGCTGCACAGGGATGGCTGGTTTCAACCCGGGGAGACCTCAAAGCTGAGCAGAGCCCCAGCTCGGGGGGTGCAGAGCCCACCCCTGCCCACCACAGCACCCATCCCCTTGCCCACCACAGCACCCATCCCTCTGCCCACCACAGCACCCATCCCCCTGCCCACCACAGCACCCATCCCCCTGCCCACCACAGCACCCATCCCCTTGCCCACCACAGCACCCATCCCCCTGCCCACCACAGCACCCATCCCCTTGCCCACCACAGCACCCATCCCCCTGCCCACCACAGCACCCATCTCCCCACCCACCACAGCACCCATCCCTCCG